TATATATATATATATTTGACGGTTGTTCATGGATTTAAATTTAATAAGGAATGATTTTCTCTTTGTTAGTACAATTTAAAGCTTCTATAAATAACTAAATAGAGCCATCTTTATAGAAAAAATACACTAGTGTAGAAGTACAAAGGCTACAACTTGCAAGGACGAAGGGACCGCAAGATCAGGAAAGCCAACGTTCTCACCAAGGGCATAATAGTACAAAAGTCTGGTACAACAGGCTCAGAGATAATAATTTGAGAAATTCCAGAACTATCCCTAGGTCGGCAAGCAGGCATATTGAACTGCTGCAATCTTATTCCCCTTCTAATAAGTAAACTAAAGTAAAATGATCATTTTCTCTAGTCATAATTGTACACTCCTAAAATAGCTGTTGAAAATTGAAAGAATTTGGTAAAAATGACAGATTAGATCCAGCCATATACCCCACTCAATACTAATCTCCCTATAAAACCAACATTCATCCCCTCTTCTTTCTTGCCCTGCCACTTACTAATCTTCCTCCTCCCTTTGCTCCGCCTCCACCCACCATCCGCCGCCTTAGGCATGGATGTAAAATACCCCCAACCACCACCATCCGCCGCCTTAGGCATGGATGTAAAATACCCCCAACCACCACCTTCCACCGTCAAAATCAAAAGAACCACCAGCTCCGACGGTAGCGGAACCGGTACAATAATTCTCAACAAATACCAACTTGGTCGTCTTTTAGGCCGTGGTAGCTTTGCTAAAGTCTACCTCGGCCGTTGTTTAGACGACAACAATACAGAAGTCGCCATTAAAGTTATAAACAAAACCACTACAACGACAACTACTTTCGATGCTTCTATGGAACCGCGTATAATCCGAGAAGTCTCCGCCATGCGCCGCCTTAATCACCACCCAAACATTCTTAAACTCCACGAAGTCATGGCTACAAAAACCAAAATCTACCTCGTAATGGAACTCGCACACGGCGGAGAACTTTTCACGAAGCTCAACCGCCGTGGCGGCCGGTTTTCTGAATCAACCGCCCGGTTTTACTTCCACCAGCTTGCTTCCGCTTTACACTTCTGCCATCAAAACGGCGTCGCACACCGCGATATTAAACCTCAAAATCTCCTCCTAGATGAAGACGGTCACCTTAAAATCTCTGACTTCGGACTCTCCGCCTTGCCGGAGCAATTACGTAACGGTCTCCTTCACACCGCTTGCGGAACTCCGGCGTATACTGCACCTGAAGTAGTTTACAGAAAAGGGTACGACGGAGCTAAAGCGGATGCATGGTCATGTGGGGTTATTCTCTATTTGATGATTCAAATTTACCTAACATGTATAAAGCTATACATCGCCGTGAATTTAAGTTTCCCGATTGGGTTTCAAAGCCGGCTCGGAGAGTAATAAACCGGTTGCTTGACCCGAACCCGGATACGAGATACAGTATTGAGGAGTTGATGAAAACTCCCTGGTTTAAAAGGTCGTCGTCGATGAAACAAGAAGAGATTAAGCAATTTGGTGAGGGGATTTTGGAGAAGGAAAGTAGTAAACATATGGGGAGAATGAATGCGTTTGATATTATATCGATGAATTCGGGGTTGGATTTGTCGGGGTTATTTGAAATGGGGTTGAATAAGAAGGAAATGAGGTTTACGACGAATGTGGGGGTGATTGAGGTTGAGGAGAAGGTGATGAAGATTGGGAAAGATGGAGGGTATAGAGTGGAAAGAAGGAAGAGTGGGGGAGTTGGGTTGGTGAAAAGGAGAGTGGTTTTGTTGGTGGAAATATTGGAAGTGGCAAAGGAGTTATGGTTGGTGGAGTTTAAGGTTGTGAATGGTGGAACAGAATTTGAGGATTGTCAATGGGAAGAGTTGAAATTTGGGTTGAAAGATATTGTTGTTTCATGGTATAATGATGGATCTTGAAGAGGATAGGTGGTGGTGGAATATGGCAGTGGCCAGCGGCCGGCGGCGGAGTTTGAGCCTTTGTGGTGGCGGACGGCGGGGGATGGAGGCGGCATTACATAGTGGTAGGTGTCTTTGATACTTGATCTTCCAGGGCGTATAGGCATTAGGCAGTAATTAGTGAGCTAAAATGTAGTTCTTGTTAGTCTTTTTTGGACTCTGTAAATTGAAATGGAAAACATTTTTTTTTTTGGTTTAGTTATGCATCTGTTTTTAATTGTTTATTTTTAATATTTCAATTTGATTTAAATCTAATACTAGACCCATGGATCATGAAATAATCTCTATAATTTTTCAAAAGTTAGGATAGTTCGATGCACAAAATATTTAGTAATTTATGCAAGAGTTTGAGGAAATGTCACACCTCTTCCTCTTAGCTTATAGCTTATCCATGCTTGCATCAGTAGCTGGTTCGGCGGTTTGATAATCAAGTTTGGTTGGTAAATCTTTCAGAAAATAGTTTTAAATGGGTGGGCGGCTATGGAAGCCCATTCTTTTAGAAGAAACTGAAAATGACAAATTAGATAATGTTTATCAATCTCGGTGGAAGGCTGAAGCTAAGCAAGTTCTATTAAACGGTTCATAGAATCAAAATTTTCAACGTCTTCATGAGTTTCTCAGTGTTTTCCCTGCTTCAGTTTCTTTCAATTAAGTCTGAAACATGACAGTGGCAAAAATAAGGCTAAAGTCAGCAGTTTGACAGCACAAATGACAGCAGACAAAAACGATACAAAATTTGAAGTTCATGAATTCTTACCACCTCAAATTAATATATATATATATAATAATAATAATAATTACGTTCACATATTTAGAAAATTTCTTAACATGCATATAAAGATGGTACAAAATTTACTTAGATTCACGTGAACCCGTAATTATTACTATAGATCGGCTCATGGCTGCCATTACAAGTTGATTAAGCAACCGTCAAAATTTCATTTGCCCC